TGCTAAGTTTTAGACAAGGAAACACATAAACCTAACTGTCTCCTTATTTGAATGACTGAGATAGTGTGATCTAATGATCCTTTTTCCTCCTTTCCAGTTAATACAATTGCTTTCTGATAGCTTTAGAACTGAAGGGTGTCATTGAAATGACTGGTTAATGCAGACTGCTGAAAATTATTCTTAAGGTGCTACACTGAGCTCTGTCTTGACTGTACAAATGTTTCATAATTACATATTCTTCCAAAGTTCTTCCAGTAACTTCTTTTTCTTGAGGGTGGGAGGGGATGATGATATGTGAAATGGAAGACACGAACTTCATAAAGAGATATTGCATGCACTAAGTCCAGTATCTGTTTTAGAATGGCTAGAGAAGTGTGTTTTGGTTTGTTTGCTTTTTCTTCTCAGGCAGAAAAGGAAATCCACCAGAAGTTTGAGCCTCCATCTCAGGTTTTTTAGTTTGCATCTCTTTCAACAGTTGAACTTTTTACTTTAATGTCTTGCTTGAAGCTTAATGGTTTCTGTTGTTTCAAATGCCATCAGGTAACTGAAAGACAGGGTGCTTTATGGCTTAAGCCTCCTCTTTTATACTTTGTCATCCTCCTCCTCTGCCCCACTCGTTTGTCATAAATGAGTCAAAAGGAAATTGTGTTGGCAGTGGATGGAGCTGAATACAATACTCGTTCCAGAGTCAAGCATTGTGTCAATCTGAAAAGTAAAGTAAGAGCAAGATAGAGGTTTAGCAGTAAGCAGTCTGTACAATGTGATATGGAAAAATAGGTTTGAGCTAGAGCAGAGTTGGGTCAGGCTAGTTGGGAATCACTGGAAAGTCAAGTTCAGGCAAGATCAGAACCCTAACTCAGTCTGGGGCACACTTGCAGCCAGTGGGCATACTGGTCAGTGAAAAAGTGCGTGCTAGGCTCTTATTCCAAATAGTGTGGCAGTCCGCAGTGTCCTAAAGCAGCTCCTAGCTTCCTGGGCTGGTGGTCTCTTAGTTGAGAGGGAGGCAAAGACCTGTAACCAGGCAAGTTTTCTTAGGAAAGTTCTCTTAGCTAGGAATTGAGTTTTTCTTTTCCGTTAGAAAACAGTAAGAGGAAGGTGAAGTGACACCAGGACTGCTACTCAAAGCCAGTGGGGTGGTAGACCTACGTGGGAGCAGATGATAGAAGGTGCTTCTGCTGCATGCTGTGTTAGAGATGTCTAAGTTAGCTTTCTTAAAGCATTTTGGAGAATACATTGGTTTGTGTTTCATTCCAAGATGCCATGGCCAGACTACCTGATGATAGACCAGTGCAGAGATGCCAAGCTACCTCTATGCTGGTAGAGGTTTGTGTGTATATAAAGGATTGCTGTGTGCTCTCAGTGAGTTAAGGAGTAACTGTACAAATGACAAAACGGTTGTCACAGAGAAAGAGGAAGTTAGTACTTATATTACTCATTGCTCGAGTTTGGAGGGAAGGTCAGAGAAATGTTTGAGTGTACTGCAGTTTGGCTTTGTCACGTCTTCAAAGATCTTAAAAAAAGCTTTTTGCTTAGGTGCTTCAGAGATTAAGAATATTGGCCAACCAAGCTGTAATAGTGTGTATATACATATGCTTTAATTATGTACCACCACTCAAAGTAGTGAAGTTGGCTCCAGAGTGTTTTACAGCAATTGGATATTTAGGGCTGAACTTCCAAAACTGGATGCTGAAAGAAGCCTTGGCTTGTGTTAAATTCCTGAATCCTTGTTTGAGAGCCAAAATGGAATTGCCAGTCTCTCACTAAAACCAAGTTGTTAGCCTCTTATTTCAGGAATTGGAATTTTCTTTAAGCAATTGTAGATCATTCAGTAAGAAAAAGTCACAAATAACTCAAAACACTAGGTAAAACAGGCATTTGGTAGCTGCTGCTTAAGTTCTATTACTTCTAAATTACTGTCAGCCTTCATTATTGACATCTCCATATTTAGTTGCTAACTTCAGACTGAAGACTGAAAAATTCAGCTTAAACTGTTCTTTTCAAGACAGTGAAATTGCTGCAGTTCACCCAGATTACTGTACTGGGATTTCCCCTACACCCACTACGTTTATGTCATTCTAGTGACACCTTTCCAAAAATAAAGGCATAACTGAATGTTTGTTTTAAAGAAATGACAGGTGATGTAGTTATAGGCTTAACTTGTCACAAGTTTGAAAGGTGCATTGCAGTACAGTTAGAGACAATCCTTTTTCTTATTGTTTGCAGAAAGGCTGGACAATTTACAGGTTTGTGGATCTAAGTGAACATTTACAGTGGTGCCAAATAGATTAAACTTGTGTTGTGCATGGTTCTGGTGGTCCATG